CCCTCCGCTCTGCCTGTGCCCGGCTGCCTCTGCCCCTCCTGCATTTTTCTCAAACCCAACTGGAGAAGGTCACGAGCAACCTGGTCAGACCTGGAAGCTGGTCCTGCTTGAGCTGAGGTTGACTGGGCACCTCCGCAGCTCCCAGCTTGCAGTTATCTTGTTCAAACAGTCTCAGGCAAGCAGGGAGCGCACAACCCTTTGCTGAGCAGGGCTATGCAGAGAGCCGGGGAGGTGACCTGGGGCAAAGCTTCGGAGCGAATTTGGCAGGAAAAGTCAATCTGAGACATGGAAATGAATGGGAAAATAGGATAAAATGCAACATGGGTTCACCAAAGGTAGCTTCTGTCAGAGTAACCTGAGGCATTTCTGCGATACCAGAGTTTCCAGACAAAGGCAATTGTAGCTCTTCTCCCTGGGTTGTTGCAGAGCGCTCAATATGCTGCCACCCGGGAAATTACTCATTAAGCTGGAGAAGATGAGATGAATGTGAGGATTATGAGGTGGCTGAGAACCTGGTTAAATGGTTGTTAAGAGCAAGTGGGCTTGGAAATAGAGTGTTGAGTTGGAGGAGTTTATTAGTGGAGCTTCTGACAATTTGGTTTATTTAGGGTTTTGTGTATGACCTGGGTGCACAAAGCAGGCAGGAGCTGACACAATTCTCTGGTGACACGAGCTGTGGCACCTCGTCAGGCTGCGGAGGAGGAGAGTGGGGTCCTCGGGGGGGCTTGAAGCCTGGAGTGATGGGAGGGAGTGGGGACGCGCCTCTGGGGAGAGCCCGCCGGCAGTGGGGGTGTTGTCTTGGGGGGCACCGTGGGAAATAGGGGGAGAGGGGGGATCCCACCTGCGGGGTGTACCCAGGGACGTGCAGTGTGCCAGGTGCAGGAGGTGCCAGCGTGCCAGCAGCAGAGCGTGCTGCCCGGTCCTCGTGCCAGCAGTGTTCCTGGTCGGCCTTGGGCTGGTGCCTGAGGAAGGGAAGCCAAAAGCCCCCGTGCCGTTTACCAGACTCAGAGGACAAGCGGGATGGTGCTGGGCGATGAGCAGCCCTCCCGGCGGCTTAGAGGGATTTCACCTCGGGGGTGTTGCTGCATCCCGTGGTGGGACGCCTGGTGCCCATCTGCCCGTGCATGGCCGGGGAAGCGGCGAGCGTTGGTGTTTCTCACGTGGGCCGTCCTGGGCGAGCGCCGCGGCTCCTCCACAGCCCCAGCCTGCCCACTCTGCCCCTGCGGGAGGAAACAAATTGTTGTTGCAATTTATTTTGCCTTGCAGAAAGGTGGTAAATTGCTCAGTAACACCTGGCTGGAGTTCAGGTGGGACTTTCTGTGACCGTGAGCACTGCAGCCCTGCAGCATCCCTGGGGCTCGTCCTGCTGCCGTGCTCCCTCGTGCCTTCCCAGACTTTACAGCAGCACCTGTGTCCCGAGAGGTTCTGCCTTAGCCTTTGCCCTTGCCCTCATCATGTTTTAAATGGAAATTCTGCCTTTTAATGAGCCTGCGAGCCAGGCAGGCTGAGCCCGGCTGTGGCGGTGGCCCCCAATGCCAGGGTCTGCCCCCTGCCCAGGTGCTGCTGCAGGAGGGGTTATGGGGGGCGAGACCCCAGGCGCACCGCAGTCAGGGGGGGTACGGCTGCTCCTCGGCTGGAGCCAGGCGATGCGGGGCAGCGGGAGGTCAGGCTCTTCAGTTGCTTTTAAACTTCAGCTCAAGGCTTCCCTCAGCATGGGAAACTTGGCACGGAAACCTATGGAAAGCCTGGCATGGAAAAAGTGTGTAGATGCTATTCCATATGCTTCAGGTAATGTAAGCTCCCCAAAAGGAAATGCTGAGGTTTTTTTTTTTCATGCATCTCAAAGATGGCCATTCCTTCTCGCATCGCAAGACGCATGGGCCCATCTCACTGTGGGTGCTGCGGCTGGGAGAGAGGCTGGCGATGGCTTTGGCTGAGGACACGCCAGGGGACCGGTCTCCACAGCAAGGCTGGAGGCTGCCTGTTTCACTGCTGGTTCTTCGTTTTTATAATCACATAATTAAAGCAATTAAAAGGCGATTACTGACTTGTTCTGCTTTACAGCAGGATTAAAGGGCTCCAGGATCTTTTGCAGATGGCACAGGTTGTCCTTTCGGAACGGTGAGGCAGAGCTGGGAGCCTGTGGCGTGTGCTCCCTCCCTCCATCCCTCAGTCCCCATGGCGCTGGTGATGGCAGGGCCGCTGCGGTGACAGCTGCCTGCACTGGCGCCCCGGCCAGGCAGCGGCAGAGGAGGCTCCTGCGTCTTTGCCAGGCGCAGGTAGCTCCAGAGGTGCCAAACAGGAATAACCCCATTTGTCTTCAGACCGGGGGCTGTCTGTGGGCCACTGGGTTTTGTTTGTGCGTCTGCTTGTTTGGAGCTTCCCTGTGTCCCTGCTGCTGCTTTGGTCTCAGCTGCCGTCAGTTCTTGAAAAGCAGGGGCTGGGTATGTATTTGCTGGCATTTAAGAGATGGAACTGGAGATGCCTGGGAGAGGAGATGTCAGGGATTAAGGAGCCATCAGCTTGATGAAGGTAAACCTGGGGTGACTTTGTGGTTGGGAGCCAGAGACCTGGTCCTTCTGGAGACGTTGCTCGGTCCCCTGACCATCGTGGTCAGTGCAGGGGATGCCGGGTGGTGGCTGAGCGCTGGTGTAGCCAAACCTGCGATGAGATGCTGCACAGCACGAGTGCGTTGAGTCAATATCCGTGGTGCTCATCCTGCTCTGCCCTGCGCTCGGTAGACTTTAAGGCGCTTCCCAGAGATCTCTGCAAGACTTAGTGTCACAGAGAGAGACGAGGGGTAGGTGTGGGTGGTGGGAGCAGGGACAGGAGCGAGTCTCTGGCAGCTGGGACTGCCTGTGCTCTGACACAGCCGCGCAGGCGTTTTGGCCAAAGCAGTCGTGTCCTGCCTGCTCCCTGGGTGGTTTTGGGATGAGAAGGCCCTGTTGGTTCTGGTGCCTACTCTGCAGCTCCTGGGTCAGCAGGTTGGGTTGTCCTGAGCTGACTCTGAGAGGATTTACGGTTGGGATATGTTCAGCTCCTTTGGAAGGGCTGTGGCTTTTTTGTGCATACAGATTTTCAGCTGGAGAGGTCAGATTTTCTGCCTTCTGCCCAGTGCCTGGTTCCCGCTGCAGCTCTGCCACGCGAATGCCCTCCCGAGGGGTGCATTGCATCCCCCTGCGGGGCTATGCATCCCGGCAGGAGCCGAGCAGAGGGCAGGAGCCTGCCTGTCCCCTTGCAAACCCTCACCTGCTTCCTGCCCAACCTGTTTGGGGCACTTTGCCTCCCAGGGGAGCCACCCTTTGAAATAACAAAGCAGCAGTCCTGCCGTGCCTCTGGCTTGGAGAAACATTAACGAAGGGAGGTGTCAGGGCTGGGGAGGGATGGCTTGGCTGGTGCTTGGCTGCCGCCGCGCTCGCAGGGCGCCCATGAGGAAGTCTGGTCGCAGCAGCAGCCGTGGCTGTGTGGCTGATGCAGGGAGGTGATGCCGGGAAGATGATGGATTTCTTACGGGGCCTGCTGGTGAGTGCTGTGCAACCCGTGGTGGGTCGCTGGGGAGGGGTGCTGGGCAGAGCTCTGCCCTGCTGCACTCCATCCTTGGCGGCTCCTGCCTGGTGCAGGGTTTTCTTTCTGTGTGTCATTTTCTTCGGAAACCTTCAAAGCAGGCACTTACTGGCTGTGCTGCAGCTTCTGCTCTGAGCGCTCCTCTTCCGCAGGTACCTGCTCCCTAAACTCGCCCCTGGGGTCCTGGGGCAGCTGAACAGACACTGTGTGCTCCAGCAGGCTCGGCTTCGGACCCGGTGTCTTGCCTGGTGCTGAGAGAGAGGAGTCATGTACTTTTCTGTGCTGAAGCACTGGGATGTGACTGTACATCCCCTCTCACGCTGCCAGTGTAGCACACTCAGTGGTGAGGGGTGAGGACCTGTGAGCAGGAAAGGAATAGCAACTGTACCATTTCGGGTTGAATATTTTGCATTTCTGAGGTCGTTAGGACAAGCTAATGGGCAGGTTTGCCCTGCCGAAGGTGGTAGGGGAAACGGCTGTCTGCTCTGGCGTTGCCTTTGGTTGCACTTGAGAAGCAGATGCAGGTTTGGTTTGGAGCGGACAGTCTCAGCGGCCCAAGCGCGGTGAGTGTACCCTTTCCTGCCGGCTGGGCCCACGGCAGGTGACATTGCTTCCTGCCGGGCGTCACAAAGCGGCGATTGTCTACACTATAATTACCAAAATATTTGCGGCCCACTAAAGCTTGGCTTCAAGTATGCATAAATCCCTAAAGGGTACAGACTGCTGTCTGCTTTATTAAATAGGTGTACGCGTTTTCTGCTGGAACTTGCTTTAGCAGGTGGATCTGGTGCTGCTGTGCGGTTTGCTTCTCTGGTTCTGGCTACTGGCAGAGTGGGACCTGGAAACTATTTTAATTGACTCAAAGAGCATTTGTCCATCGCAGAGACCTGAAGATAAACCGGAATCTAAACCAAGCTCAAAATAAGGAAAAGCCTTTTTAAAGTGCTCCCAGCTTTGGGCACAGAGCTCTTCTGAGCCTGGGGTTTGTTTTTCCTCCTGTAGGTGCAGTAGATAAAAACGGGGCATAGCCTAAAGCTGGAAACATGGCCAGGGCTCTTCTGAGCCAAGGCAGTCCCCACCTCTGTTGGCAGTGTCTTTCCCCCATCCCAGCTGGTGTCACTGAGGGCAGTCACTAGGCTGCTCGTGCCGTAAAACTAACCTTTGCTCGCCACATTTATTAAAAGAAAATCTCTCTGAGGTTTTCCTTTGGTCTTTGATTTTGATTCCTTCATCCCCTCCTCTGTTTTTTTCTCTCTTTTTTGTCTTTTGAGAAATTCAGTCTATTCTAAGAGCTCACCAAAAATCACCCCCCCACGCCTTTCTCTTTGGTACCGTGACCCCTTAAGCCCCAAATCTCGCATCCCTCTTCTGTAAACCGTTTCTGAGAGCCGACAGCATCAGAGCTGCTGATCCCGCCTTCTGCTCTGCCTCCTGGACCGGCAGCGTCTGCCGTGGCCCCCGCCTCTCCCCGGCCGGATGGGCCCTGCTGTGGCTGGAGCGCGGCGGGTGGCCAGGAGCAAACACGGGTTAGAGGAGAGGTGGCGGGAGGATGGGGGAGAGGAGGGATGGGGCTGCTGCTTCATGTCTCCAGAAAAGCCCCTTACTAGTTTACTGGGAGTGCCCCAACATTTACAGCTGTAGTTTGACTAGATAATTTATTTGCGTGTACTTGAGAGCAGGAAAAGCTGCTCTCAGGGATCAGGATTGTCCAGCTGAGGTTCAGTGGTTGCTGTGCCGAAGGGGTGGCCCTGCAGGTGCCCGGCGAGTCGGGAGGCTGGTGGAGCACTGATTTCCCCGTGGCTGTGCATGCTGGTGGGGCCGTGCCCGTGCTGGTTGCTGGGGTCAAACCTGCATCTGCTGCGTCCGAACGTCATGGCAGGACCGTGTGGGAAA